TGCCAGGAATGCTCATGAAATAGATTAATTACTCGTAGTTTCAACTGAAAACAGCCCCCTCCCATCGAAAGCTGAAGATGGTTCCTTCTGGCTGCAACAGTTGCAAAAAGCCATTGGGAATAATACAAAAAATAACTGTCGTCGAAACAAGAATTGTATAAATTCGAATTAGCTCTAAGTATTTATAGTTTTATTGATACTGTTGACTGAATAAAACTAATCATTTGAAGTAATGAGAGAACAATGAAGGAGCTAATTTTTGACAAAAAGTAATGGAAACTTATGTAAACACTCGGAACCAGGGATTCCAAGGAGGGATTTTTCTCAAACTTCTGCTTGAGCTATTCATGCAGGCATTGTCCTTGGCACTGCCAAAAAAAAGGAGAAAAAAAACAAAGAAAAAAGCAGTGGTCATTTGTGTGGCGTCTACTCTCTGTCTGTGTGTATTTGCATAACCGAAAGCAGCATTGTCGTGAGCATATCTCAACTGCAAATCCTTTTAGGACTGCTTCGTGATAGCGTCCCGTCCCTTTGTTTAGTTGTACGAGCATGCAGGAATTATTGGTCCTGTGTATTTGTTGTTCTTGGCAAAATATGCAGCTCCCTAAAAAATGTGCACTGTTTGTTGTGTTTGCCTTGGTGTTTGTGTTTTCTGAACAGAGTCCTGTTGGCAGTCCTTTTCGTGGTCTAGCCATAGGCCATCCGTTGTCTGCAGCGAAGCCTGCATATGTTGTCAGCGCTAATCAAGCGCACATACTCGTACTCGTCCTCGTACCCGTACCCGTACCCGTACTCGTACTCGTATAATACTCACAACTCCAGTCAGCACTACTGCAAAAACAAGAGGAACCGCAACTGCAGCAGGACTTATGCAATGTTATTTGTTTGCAAAGGCAGCAACGTCGGCGTCGACGTCGGCGACGGCTACGGCTACGGCTTATGACTGAATTTTCTTTGCCATTGTTTGCATTCCTTTCGCTACCCGTATCCGTATCCGTATCCTTTGTCCCTGCCTTTTCCAGCTTACTAAAGTTTCTGGGCAATTTCACTGGCATTTACCATGCCTCATCCTCATCAACACAAAGATACTTTCTTCCCGCTGATTGATTTATATTAATCTTTGGCAATTATGCCAGAAGCTGGTAATGTTTTCCATGCAGCTGGGATAGAATGGAATCGAACCAAGTTTCAAGGGAATTTTCGGGAGTTCTATCACCAGTTGATCCCTGAAAAAAATCTTTCCATCTTCGTTCTGTGCAAGCGAACTCTCGGCCAAAATGCATTCATTCAAGCCAAGTTGCAAGTCTGAGGCATCAACTAGTCAAAAGACGCATCTTTCATGCGGTTTTTCCCGTCTAAACTGCTAACTAAAGTAACATTTTATTATGTCACTATGTCACACTCCTTCCATGCACCGACACACAAAGATGCGCCGCACACAGATACACCAACACACACACGGCTGACATGTTGACATGTTAAAGAGCATGTAAGTGAAGTGTGATAGAAGCTGGGAGATACGAGATAAGATGAACGCTGTTCGAGGGAGAAGTAGACGCAGAAGCAGAAGGAGAACAGAAAACTACAGTCTCCCTTTGGATGCAGTCTATTTTCTTCGCTCCCCCCATCCCTGCCCCCATCTAGCCTGGCTTATGGTTTACTTTTAGTTAGTTAGTAAAACAGAACACAAGTTTTACATTTTTCTCAAGCCAGCTCACGCTCACGTCATTGAGGTGAGGTGAGGTGTCAGACGTTTTTATGATGGAGCTTTTAATGAATTTACTTTTATTTGGGTGTCGCACAGCATCTGCATACATGTGGCCGCCTCGTATTAAGGATGAAAATTTTGCGACGAGTATTTGAACAGTACAGGCTCTTGGCCATTGAAGTGGGCGGCCAAATATTAGTACGGGCTCGAAATGATGAACTAGAATCCACAGGCCTTTCTCTCTCCCAATCCCAATCTCAATTACTATCGTTGCGCCTCCCGCAAAAGCACTCAATTGGGGGCAGGTTATAACTTACGTTTAATCTCAAAATTAGTCGAAAACTAATTAACGATAAGCGACTCCACCTGGGGCTCTACCCAAAGTGCACTGCACTTCCTCGCAGAAGTTTACGCCGAGGCTCGGAAAAGTTCTTAATGCATTTAACTAGTGACTTTGGCCCAAAGTGCTTATTATCATTATCGGGCATCTATTGCAATTTCCTAAAGCAATTACAAAGTCTGCCGAAACTAGTTGCTAGAAAACTACGTATGTTTTCTTAATGGTTTACAAAACCCCTACCACTCGGGGTGGAACACACCCACTCTTCATAATTCGACCTTTGAACAAGAAGACTAGAAGGCCCCCTGCCCCCCGGCGAATGCTCATTTCCAGCAGGTGTGGGAGTCGAAGAAAGTGAGTGAAACTTTGCTCTTTTAAAGAGAAATTTCGCGATTGCGCATTAGCTCTCGGGCTGTACTCAAGGCGAAGAGCGAAGATGAGCTTAACCGGCTTTGAGTGCTTTATATTATATATATTAATTTAGATTTAAATCAAGGATCAGTATATATTCTGTGCTCGTTTGTTTACTTCTTCGCATTCACCAAAATTATTTGCTCCATTAATAAGTTTAATAATTTAGCGTTTGCTTGGGAACTCAAATGATCCTGAATCCTGTTCGCAATACTTCCTATGTGCGTATATGAATATCGTACTATATAATGCTGCTGATGAACATCTAGTAGAAATTTTGCTTGTATTTCTTCATAGTAGAACGAATGTCTCGTACTCGTGCTTTCATATAGCCAGTAAAAGACGGACCGATTCGATCACCCCTTATCTCTGTCTTATTTGATTTTAAGAAGGGGCTAAAATACATTTCATTACTTATAGAAACTGTTTGCGAATATATGATAGAATACATATTGAAGACTAATCGATGCCGAGGAGCAAACAAATCGGAATTCATTTATATTTTCTCTTACCTTAATTCTGCTTAAGTTTTCAGTACCCTGCAATCCTACCCTCCCAACTATTAGGTTACGTTTTTTTCATTAAAAATCCACTGAGAATTACTATTCTTTAGGGAAAATATCTTTATAAAACATCCAAAAGAAACAGAGAAGAACTATGGATAAACTTGAGGGAACGAATGCGTCAAACGTGACCGAGGTGAAGTTTTCCTACTCTTGCTCTTTGGCTTTGGGGGCAAGTTTCCATTCAGTCTTTTTTGTTCGTTTCTGTAGTTTTAAGTTTTGTGTCCATAACTGGGTCAGCAAGGGGGGGAAGGGAGAACCAGGAACATTTTGAAAACATAAAAGACCACAAATTCTGGATTTCTGGGTGCACGAAACGAGTGAGATTGAAAACTGAGTGAGTTTAGTGTTCAAGTCATTGTTTTGAGTGAGTCGCAGAGAGAGACCTCACTGAGGGATGATTCAGAAGCAGGGTCGCAGAAATCGGGGTGGACGAATTTCAGCATAGAAAAAACTCAAACTATCAAAATATATAAGCAAACAAAAACAGCTCCCAAAACGTGAATTAGAGGAGATATCTTCTTTAGAAAGCATGGATTCCTTATACATATGTATGTCTAGGAGAACGGAACCACAACAAGGATCACAGGATATATATATATACATAAATATACCGACAAAGCCAACATTCAGATTTTTGTATGCCGTTTTATTTACAGACAAGGCTCAAGAAATTTATCCAGTAAATTAATTGTGGTTTTAGAAGTGCATTATTTATATTCACCTACGTACTATATGGGGATTTCCATTCTGGCATTACATATTATTTTTAGAACAAAATGTAAAAAAAAAATAATAAAAACAAAAAGGTCAAAATTTGAGAATCAAATTTTTGTACTATATTTGAATAAGAATTAGAATACGAATTTATTTTAGAATAAGATAAAAGCCAAAATATGACCTGACGAAACGTTACCAAAAACCGAAGTGGCTTTTAGGTTGGGATACAAATGGCAAGACTCCTCGAGTTGGGAATCTATATAACTTACATATGAAACTTTCTGTGATCAGTTTCAAAGTTATTAAATGTAAAAAACCTTTCCTGTTTTGTTGTTATAAATCCGCGGCGGCATCTGACATACTTAACTGGCGATACGTAACCAAATTCCGGGTTACAGAATGTACCGTTAGCCAATTCTGGCAAATTTTCGGGAATTTTTTAAGATAGTTCAATTTGTTAGAGAACCTTGGTGGAAAAACTGTTATCAATAACCATCTTTCTTATAGGAGATGAAAAAATTACTAAAAGTTCCAGTAAATACCGAAAAAGTTAACTTTTGCTTATTTTAATAGGTTTCCACTGTAAAGTCAGTGAAATTATATGTTAATTGGTTAGATAAGTTAACTTTCAATAAATTCAGAATATAATATCAGAACAATAGTACACGGAAATCTTTTTTTTAATGCTATTTAATGTTACTTGACTTATTTGCCATTACATATACTATTATTATTGTTCTTTAGCATTTTTCATTCAAATACGGTAGAAAAAAAGTTTAGTTTAAAATTACAAATCATTAAAAAAAAGGGATAAATAATAGACATATATAACTAAACACAGATATCCCGGTACACAGATGCCTGTGTCCATCAGGCTCCCTGAGTTGTCCAAACCTATAAAATTATACCATGCCTTCACATCGGCCAATTTGACTCAAGGAGAGGCAGCTCAATCAAAAATCACTCGAAACCGGAAACTCAAACCGAACGCAGAAATGAGCTCTCTCGCTCTTGAGTGGGATGTGGTGAGCGAACATGTCGCACTCTCCGAGTGGATTCGCTGCAACATGCATCCCACTCATGCTACACCCCCGACATTAACATTAACATTCAACATAGAGTCTTCGCATCTGGCGGACGGATGGTTGAGTGAGAAATGCGCTCTCTCTGTGTGTGCGAGTAAACGTCTCGCTACGTTCTCAAAACATAAATCTCACTCAAAACCGGAAAACTGGGAAAAATGTGAAAATGCATGAAAACACTGTGGACTGTGGATTCTTGGTCAATCCTTCTCGGGCCGCGGAAAAGGAAAGAACACGAAAACCGAACCGAGTGTCGACATTTTTTTTGAATTCAGAAAAGTCCGTTGATATCACACAAAATATCCACGAGCGGTTGTTTCGTATCGAACAAAAAATCACTTAGTAATAAAAAATATTTTTTTTTAAATAAGAAAACACTTTCGCGAATACCTCGAGGACCAGAACTCTGAAATATCCATGACTATATCAATATAAGCCAAAGAATTTTTTTACGTGCCGTGTCAACAGTGTACGTGTGCCTGACCCAAACCAAAGCGAAACGGAATCCCCAGCACCCAGCACCGAGGACCCAACACCCACCAGAGAAACCAAAATGATCAGCACAACGGATTACCCTCTAGCAGAGACAGCCACAGCGGCAGCAACAAGCGACGAGCTGTACGCGGAGTTCATCTCCGCCCCGGCGAGCAGCATGAGTCCCGAGGCCATTGCGGAGCACATGCAGCAGAACCGGATCACCTTCGAGATACCCAGCGCCCACGATCTGCGGCACATCGACGCCCTCAACTCGTTCAACGCCTTGCTCCAGCGGATCGGCAATGCCGCGGTCTCCTACGACGCCGCACCACCCTCCGGGTGGGCGCACGAAGGCAGCATCAGCACCGAGCAGCTCTCCAAGTCGGTGGTGCTGGACTTGGCCGACCTGCGTGATCGGGCCGAGGACAGCGGCGAGTCGGCGGGCTGGTGGGGCCAGATCTTCGGCGACGCCGATATGCATGTGATAATTAACTATCTGTGGATCGGCGTGGTCAGCTCCCTGGTGGTGCTATCCCTGGTCTTCATCCTGTTCAGCTGTTACTTCTACCGCAAGTTCCGCACATGGAAGAAATGCAGTAAGTTCCGAATTCCTACCCCACATTTTGCACACATTTTGCCCACATTTTCCAGTGTGCCATCAATCTCACAGTCCACGCCCCCAGGGCCGTACCCCATACATTTGGCCTTTATGTCCAGACTTTAATCAAAATGTTTCGCAAAGCGTTATCTTCAGCCATTTATTCAGCTCGCTAAACAATATAAAACGCAGAAAATGGTCCCAGTCACAGGTCCAACCAGATAGCCTCCTCTGCTGGCCGATCCCTTCGTTCAGGTTCTTTCAGCCAGGGCCGACTGTTATGGCCGAAAACCTCATAAATTTGTTTGGAAGCCTTCGAAATTGTCAGCCGCTTGCATCGTCGTTTCTGTTGTAATTTTAGATACACAAGTTTATTATGCCACAAAATATATGTGGCGCATATTTATATTATTAAATTGACTCGCTTCTGCCAAAGGCTTTGGCCTCTTTATGAGTGCGATAATGTATGGGAAGGGGGGCACAGACCCAGCCACAGCCACAGCGACCCCTAAAAGTTGATGCCCAAAATGTGTTGCTTTCTTGTCGTATGCATATAAAAGCGGAAAATTGAGCGTTGACATATGCATAAGCAATATTTTATTGGAAGGAAGAGGCAAGTGATAAAGAGGAATACTCATACATCATACACACACAGAGATATCGGAGTGATGATGTCTGTATGGTTAAAGGAGGGGCTGGAAATTGGAAGTCAAGCAAACCAAATCAAGAAATGGAATAACGAGAATGTGTCACTTTTCCCATACAAATACCGAAATCAATCACAAACTCTTATCGGTGTGCAACTAAAGCCACTAAAGCTACTCGTAGATTACCGCAACTTAACCCATTTCTGTATAAATATAGCATACTATACATAGGTTAATATAGGTACAAATGAATACGTACATATCTTATCTGCTCGCAAAACCTGTTGTACCAACCGCCAGCCACCAGCCACCAGCCACCAGCCCCTTTTCGTTACACACAAACAGGGTTACGGTTACGGTTACCCGCTCAAAATCCCAAAAATAAATCATCTGTTTAGGCACTTTACACATCATTACTTAGACACACACGTACATATGTACATACCTACTAATATACGTACAAATAAACAGCAACATAACCAAACCTAACCTAACCGAACCGAACCGGACCGAGCTGCAAGGGAAAGGGGACGAAAGGGGGCGAAAGAACAACCTAAACAAGTTCCCAACTGAAGTGTCAAACTTTTTGCAGACCAATTTAGCCAAATGATTTATTTAGGCCAGGGAAAAAGTGAATAGCTAGGGTAACTTTGACTGTCTTCATTCCTAATTCTAGATGTGGCCCGGTTCCGCCTCCTGGTCCTCCTGGTCCTCCTTGTGTTGCTGGTCCTGTTGGTCCTGGACCTGGTCATGACTCTTGGGCTAAAAGGCCGTGGCACTAAAGCATGGCCAACTCACTGTCAAACTGTCAATTTTGTGCTAACGAGCCTTAAAAACTTTTCCTTGCGATTACGACACGCGACTAAGCAGGGGCCAGGGGCAGAGCCAGAGCCAGAGCCAGAGGTGCCATGGATGGGGTGGGGATACGTAAAATATCAATTTGAGCGATATGTGTTGGCTGCTTTTGGGCGCCCAATACCAATCCCAATCCGGCTAATTAGTTTCGTTAGTGTCATGGTGCTTTTTCCCTTTCCGTGGGCCACTGTCCTAGATACCACATATACATATACCATATACCACCATATACTTACTCGTACGAGGATTCCGGTACTTAGAACAGCCAAAGTAGATTCAGGGAGTACGTGTCATTTATAATTAAGCGACTGCGCCTAAGTTTGCGCCTCCTTTCCCCTCGCTTCCTTTCGCTTCCTTTCCTGTCCAACTTGTGTGCGCTTAATGCGCACTATGTTTCGTCTCACAGTGTTTACCTTATAAATAGTTAACGAGGCCTGAGCACAAGAGTGTCTGGCCCAGTTACGAGATGGCAGTCGGCCTGGCTTACACTTTATTTATTAAACTGTCACACACGGACGCAGTCCCAGGCATTGGCAAGCTTGGCTTTGCTTGTTATCAATTAGTGCAGGGCTCGCCTGAATTTATTAACAGAACCAGCACGAGCACCAGCACCAGCACCAGCTCCAGCTGGAGGACCAGAACAAGAATTTTATAAATTGCGAGTACACAAGGATATGTTTTTACCTCAAGCCTACGAGAGGGAAGCATCCACAAAATGTTCTCTTGTCCAGAACTTTCCTACATTTTAAATAGTTTCCCAGTTTGTTTTTGCTTCTGGCCGAAATCTAATTGGGTTTCATAATTAACTAAATATTTTTGAGGCCGGACAGCGCTAGGTGGCAGCGATTCGCTGATTGAGCAAATCCTTAGTGTGGAAAAACATTAAAATGCTAAACTCCACCTCCACTCACTCACACACACACCAGAAGAAAATGTATAAATAAAACAGATCAGTGTTTCCATTTACCGCTCTCCAGCCACGCCGCGGTGCGCCGTCATATCCTTTCATCAGCTGCGGCTTATTGTGATGGATTTAAATTGTTGCATACATTTTGGGCCATCAAAAATGACAACAGAAACAGGAGCAGGACCAGGACCAGGACCTGGATAAGGATGAGGTGCAAGTGCAAAGAGAGAACTGAAAACTACCAACACAGCCGAGAAACAAAAGGCAACAACAACACAGCACAACAACAAATGACGTGCTAATTTTTTCATTCCACGCCAAACACTGCAGCGCTTCGCCTCGGCTCGCTGTGGTTCTGTTCGGTTCGGTTCGGCCTCTTCTCTCACCTTTCACTAGTATTTCACTTCATTTCTCTGGGTTTCTCTGGGCTTCTTTGCTGGCCATCTGCAATGCTTAAAAAGGCACGAAAGGCGCTGGTTGGGGCGAGGGGGGTTAAACACTTGCATAAAATATGAAGCCTGCAGCATGTGGATGTGGATGTGTGTGCCACGCCTCTCGTCCAGCCCTGCCCTGTCTGTCTATCAAGCGAAAAGGAGCAAAAAGAAGTAGCAGCAAACGTCAAAAAAAGGAGAGAGTCCCCATACGGCTGGTCCATGGGTCCCGGTCCTGGACAAAAAAGCACACACACTCGTACACAGTTTGAACAATAAATCAACAACTGCTGCCACTGCTACTGTTGCTACTGTTGCTACTGTAACTGCTGACTGGTACTTCTCCAGTACTGCTGCCTTTTAATATTGTAATGCGCAAATTTTTCAACAGGCTTAAGCCCCATGCCCATGCCGCACCATGCCACAGACCGTGCCCACCTTTTGAGTGGAGCAGCCGCGATGCGCTTTAATTGAAAAACATATTGGGGACGGGCCAAAAACAAAAAGGGAATTATAAAACATAAAGACGGTTTGGAGAGGCAGTAACTAAAAAATGGTCGAGTTTTAACAGGCCCGTGCTGAAACGAAATCAGAAAAAATGCGACTGGACCCCGACTGGGGGATCCGTCCATTTATTTATTGAATGCAGCTTAAATTGCATTTAATAATAGTGAGAAGCGTTTGCCCTCGGCGAAGAGTTACACGTGAAATGCAGGCAAACCTGCTCGTATAATTGTTTCATAAATGTTTAATCAAAAGCGTAGCTTCAAATGGAATCGAGCACTCGCGATTACGACACGTTCATATTCGTGTGTGTTTTAATTTTAATTTCAAACAACATTTTTGGAATGTTTCTGCTCGCCGTTTGGTTTTCTTTTTTTTTGGTTTTTTTTTTTTGGTTTTTTGGCTCGTGTTGTTGTGGCTGCAAATGGGGAATTTCCCAAACTTAATTTAATTTTGCTTAATTTTGAAATGCAATATTTCAACGCACACGCACTCATGTGCAGCAGCCGTTCGGGATTATAAAAATTAAATGCTTTCTGCTGCATGCTTTCCGGGGCGAGCGCCGAGCTTTTATTTCATTGCAGTCAGTCGCTCTCTGTGTGGGTGTGGGTGGGTGTGGGTGTGTGTGTGTATTTTATTTCATTCCATTGTGCCACGCGCGCACTTCCGGCATATTATTGCGCAGTTTCTGTTGCCGTTGCCGTTGCCGCTGATGTTGTTGTTGTTTCTGTGGCTGTCAGTCTGTTCCGAAGGAACTTTGGCTGTCCTGGCATCCTCGCAGGCATTTCCGGTCAGCACAAACTTTTTTGTTTCCATTGCCTCCTTTCTTTTTTTTTTCGTCCGTGTTTTTTTCTCACTGGGTGTCCTTTCAAAGTGGAGTTGATGATCAAGCGCTTGCGCCTTTACGCTAAATTGAATTTAATGTCAGTCTTTCTATGAAAAGTGTCCTTTGACATGAACAAGCAGTGTAATGAGAGTGGAAGCCCCCAACCGTAACCCCAACCCCAACCCCAACCCCAACCCCAACCCCTGCAAAAGAAACTTTCTTTCGACAAATTCAACTAACGAACGCCTCTTCTTGTGCTCTGTTCTGTCCATTGCAGATAAGGATATGCGTGCACAGATCCATGCCGCCAACGATTCCTATTCCTCGCACGGAGCAGGCTCTCCTGGTCACCTGGTCAGCTGCGATGCCAGCCGCCTGCTCCTCCAGCAGCCGCAGCAGCCATCAGCTGGGAACAACAATGAGGCGGCGTTCTACCAAATCGAATCCCCACCCTGCTATACAATTGCCACCGGGTTGCCCAGCTACGACGAGGCCCTGCATCACCAGCCTCGTCACTTTGCCTACGGCATGAAGTTTGTGTACCCCAGTCTGGCAGCTGTGCATCATCATCACCATCATCCACGCACCGCCCGCACACCCATTTGGGAGAAGGACGAGCTGCAGCAGCAGCAGCATCACCAACTGAATAAGCTGCAAAAGTGCAAACTGTCAGCAGCAGCAGCAGCAGCCGCGGAGGAGGACAAAGCCTGCATCTCCATCTCCGTCTCTGGCTCCGAATCGGCCACAGCCATGCCTGCCATTTGCATTAACATGCCGGATGAGCAGGTCCGGGAGGAGCAGCAGCAGGAGCAGGAGCAGGAGCAGGAGCATGCCGAGCCGGAGCAGAGGGATCTGGCTGTGGTGCCGGCACAAAGTTTACTGCCGGCGGCTGCTGCTGACGATGATTGCGCCACATTGGTTGTTGTTGTTGCCGCGTGATTGCCCAGACAGTAGGCAGAGGCAGAGGCAGAGGAAGTGGAAGTGGGAGTGGGAATGGAAGTGAGAGGGGCGGAGAGGGGCGTCAACTGGGACCGTGGAGAGATCAGGGAAAGCAGCCCAATTGCTTAGTCACTTGTAAATAGTCGCGTCGTCTGCTGCTAATGTTGTTTCCAATGTAGAGACTTATAGCCTAATAACATAATTCTTAACCAAAATGCAATGTTTGCTACCTATACTCGTACTCGTATAGACACACTCTCCCAACAGCAACAGCCCCAGTTGCCCCAGTTGCCCCTCAAACTGATTTGTTATATTTATACTTATATTTATATTATTGTATTATGCAAGACTGAGTATTTTTTTCTTTTTTTTTTAATATAAGTATATTAATGTATTATGTATTTAAACTAGTTGTCTATCCATTAAGCCTGACTGTTAAGAGCGAAAAAATACAACACTCAAATGAAAACACTCCGTGCTAACTAAATTGCAATTATCTTCTTTTAATTTCCTTATGAGATTCGAGTATTCGAGTATTCAGCTCTGGAATTGTCAGCTCTGAAAGTTCCTTAAACATTCGTTGATCCGACACAAGCATTGGGCATCTGGCCTGCCTCCATCATCTTTTTTAATCCATGGGATACGTGGCCTGAGCAACTATCCGATGACATTCGGGTACGAGCCGAATATTTTTTGCTTTGTTTTCATATTATGTACGTGACCTGAACGTGGCTCGTCGGGATTAGGTCAGCAGGCATGAAGTGCAGCTGGGTGGAGTGCTGGAGGAGGAACGTGCAATGCTGAAAGGATTTCCCACTCAATGGAAATCGTCGAAACGGAATCGAATCAGAAGAGCTTAATTTAATAAGGGAATCATACCTACTCGCATGTTGTTGCTTTCAATCTTGGAATTTCATAACATTTTTCACATATTTGAACTGCTTTTATCCTAGCAAAATTTCCACTTATAAGGTTTCAGTGCAACCTACAGCTATATTCCATATTCCATATTTTAGTCACAACATTTTCAAATCGTTCAACGAAATGACACCTTTTAATCAAGCACTGAGGAACCAAAACAGAAACGATAACAGATAACAGAAAACAGAAAAAGATATAGATCCAATACATAGAGTAAATCCAATGCTATCTGAAAACTAATATAAATATTGTCTTCTATGAGAACAAAAGAAACAATGTTTTTTTGTTTTTTTTTTGCCAGAAAATTACATATGTATGCAAATATAACAAGAAATATTCACAAAAAAAATCGATTTATTTACAATTCCTGGGAAGGTGAGAATTTTGGGAGCACCCCCTACACCCCATGACAATACTATATACAATTGTAACACTTTTTCCAAGCTTTTGCGTCTCTAATGCTGCAATTTGTATGCGAGTGTACGAATTGGTTGATGAGTGCGATGGGCCTGAGTGCCAGAAATCAGACAGCTGGACTAACGGACCGAGAATCCGTGGATGGCATTAAGCATTCCATAACCCTTCTCAGAAGCGACAGATGCATATTCAGATAGAAGGTAACACAGAGGCCGCGGGTGTGGGTGGAACAAACACCAAACAGGGCCATAAATAATATTATCGTGCATCGTGTATCTGGTTCAGTTCAGGTCGCAGCCATGAGTGACTGCAGCTCAAAAGTGGACACGGAGGGGCGATGTAAACGGGACTGGGGACCGAGGACTGAAGACTGAAGAGTGGCACTGGCATTGACATCAACACCAGCAGCAGAAGTTGCATGGCTCAGGCAGTCGTGGTCGTGCTTTGCTCTTTTGCCAAAATGCTGAAAAAAGCCAGTGTAAAACGAAGAAAGCTGAGCTCAATAACAACGAAGTTTGTATATTCTATTTAATGCAATGATATGGGACCAATTGCTACACATCCTGGACCAAAGGTGAAAGTTGGCAAGACTTTTTGAGTGTCCGTGTGTCCCGATTAATAACTCAGATTTTAAAGATAATCCCAGCGGCAGGAGCTAAATAATTATTAAAACACCAACACTACAGATACCCATTCCCATATATGTTATATATATATCGTAAATCTTCCAATGTTTTAGCCAAAGGAGCACCGTAGTTGCTTCGCTTTTATTGTGAATTCACGTGTATTAGGTGTAATTTGACAAACGTTTCTTTTTATATATAAGACTATCTTGACTTGCTTTGGCTGAGGGCCATACATCTTGAGGGCATTCATACGACCATGAGTACAATGTATGTATAGAGAGGAGGTAGACATCTTAAAAATCATAATTCATTCCATTCGAAACAGCGTTCAGTAAACTTTTGTCATCTGTAGGTTTTTTCGTGCTAATAGTTCCAACAGGAAGCTCTTTCACTTCTTCCATTTCGACATTTAAATGTGTACCAGAGTCTTCTTTACGCGATGTAAGAATTACCTCGTCTCTTTTCACACAACTAAGAAGAGTTGAGGGCCGTGTCCTCTTCCTGATTCCTAGTAATTTCCAAATATACGGTCACTTACAAGTCGCTCCTTATTGAATCCAGATGTGCGATTTCTTGATGTTCCTTCGGCATTGTTAAATTTATTAACATTTTTTTGGTATTTTCAGATATTTTTTAGGGCTGGAAGAATTCCAATGTAGGGATGCACTACAACGTGGGAAGACCAGAATCAGAATCTTCAAGTGCATCTTCCACGTTACTACTTCCTATAGCTTTTTTGTGAGAATTCCACTCGTCTCTATCATGATCGAAACCATCACCATTTGGTAGATTTCGATAAGCTCCCCGTCCATAACTTTGTCTGTCCAGGTCTGTCCTCTCAAAGGACCTATCCTGTTGGGTATAGCCTCTAATATTTAGATGCCGCATGTTCTTGGGGTAGAGTCTCCTATCCCAATTAGGTGCGGGTCTTTCGGCCTTATCTCTGCTTCTGTCAGCATCTCCAACTCCACCTTCATTCGAGCTTTTGTCTCCATCTGCATGACTTTCCCGACTTCTGTCGGCATCTCTATCTCTATTTTCATCTTTAGACAGATTCTTGACTCTTCCTCTATGTCTTAATTGCACAGTGACTCTGTCTGCATCGTGTGACGGCTTCCACCTATTTCCTCTATCTCTATCTCGATGCCCAGCCGTGCCGTCACTCTTATCTCTGGAACCGCCTGATCCTTTGGGCCGAGACCTTTCTCTGTCTCTGTCTCTATCTGGATCTGTCCAGTTTTGAGCATTTGTCCAGACGTCAGGCGAATCCTCTTTATTGCCGTCTCCTGATTGGTTGGGAACAGCGAAATATTGTGCAGTTGGAGCTTCGCTCAAGAGACATATCAAAGCTTACCATTATCATAATTGTCGTTTTCAAAAAGATCACTTAAGTCCCCGGCTTTTTCTGTTGCTGTAGCTTGCTTAGTCGAACTAGTGGCTATGTAATCATCTGAGGTGATAGGCCTATAGTTGACTTGATAATAGAACGTCAGCCAGAAAATGATGAGAAAGTGATGGAATAGTATCAAAGATCCCAGAATAAAATCTTTCAAACGCATTTCGGCAAAGCGGCTTCCATGGATGGTCTGGGCATGGTACATAACAAACTAGCAGACTCTTAATTAGTGGGGCACAGGAGCAACAGGCCAACAGGCCAACAGGCCAACAGGCCAACGGACCAACAGACCAACTTACCAATAGGATTGTGATGGTGATGGCCAGCTCCACAACCAGGAAGCTATACGGGAGTGTTTTCGATATTATTAGCTGGTACATAAGGAAAAAGACGGCGACAATAATAAAGATGAATGCCAATATAAATAGGACGGCTATGTCCAGAGTGAGGTCCATCTATTGGGATCGGCAGCAGTTGAGAATAGAATAGTCAGTAGCTATGGAGAACTCTTACTTTCTTTGGAAGAAATGCTCCTATTAACAGAAATAGCACAATCAGAAGAACGCACACAAAGAAGAAGGTCAGCACATCCGCCCACCAGGAGTGAGTGATCAGAGTAAACGTGGCGATGATCTGCAGCTCCACCTGCGAAGGAAGGAAGGGGGAGCCCCAAAAATTTAACTAAATACCACAACCACTTACGATTATAAATCCTAGAAAAATGTTCAGGCATCGAACAAAGCGAAGTTTCTCAAAGAATATGAAAATCAGAAAAATGAAAACGGACAGGACCAATGTCACGTAACCGACGTAATAAAGATCCTGGAGTTTCGAGCGCAAGTCAGTTCTGGGGAAAATTGTATGAGAGCGATCAATCAATCAAACCCTGATGACTTGCACTTACAAAATGCAAAAAACAATCCACTGGATAAGGGCCAATAAAAGCCAGACGCCCAGCAGGAGATACGTTTTTAGAGCAAACTTTCGTCGAGACTTCCGATATCTGCGTAGATCGTTTGAGGCATGCATAGCTATATATGGGGCAGGCTATAGGGCAGGAGTGTGTTCAGTCTGTTCCGGCGTCCGTGTGTCTAACAACGACTGCAAATTTGTCCAAAACCATCAATGGGTGCTAGGCAAACATATCAAATGTCAACTAAATGGGTATACTGATAACTATTCAATATAAGTACATAATCAAAGCCAACCTGATACTGACGAGGAACGAGGAACGAAGACCAAAAAAAAACCTTCAAAATGAATGGACATTTTTGTTTATTACCATTCCATTCAGATAAGGAAACGGTCATTCGACAAACAACTGTAAAGCTTCATTGAAAACATTGTAGATAAACATTTACTTGTGTGTACACATCCGTACAAGTCGCCATCCTCTTCGTAGACTTCGGTACTCTTGGGAGATTTTTCGCCACCACGAGTATCTGTGATCGCATGGCCGTTCTATCGGGGAGTGCCAGTACCATTCCAGGGCTTAGCATCGCCCACGTCAGCTTCATTAACGTGTGCAAAGGCTTTGCTACTCACAGATAAGCCACTGGCATCGCCGCTTTCAGCTACTACAATGAGTTCCGTTATTGATAAGATAATAAATGTTTAACCTCTGTATTACTTCCGTCTCCGTAGTGATGAGCAGCGTATTGCTTGGCACTCTCCGTGACCCGGGAGTAGTCTTCGGGCGTGAAGTAGGCATAGGTGATTTGCCAAAAAAAAGTCAAGGTGTAAACTGTCAGGAACTCGTGAAACAATATCAATGAGGCCAGGAGAGCGTCGCGGTCACTCATCTGGGCAAAGCGATCGCCCTTGATGGTCTGGGCCTGGAGCATAACAAACTAAAAATTTGATTTCATTTGATTTGGTTTGATTTGGTCAGAACAAGGCGATCGTCTGGATTGGTGCGACAACTCACCAAGAACACAACCACCGAGAGGCTCAGTTCGAAGATTAGAAATGCGTACGGCAGCAACTTCGTTACATGGACATGCACTATTAGGAAATACACAGAGACGAGCAGTAAAATGAAGGTCACTATGAAAAGGTGGGACACGCGCTCGGTCAGATCCATCTGTGACGGAAAGTCGATCAATTAGAGTGTCTAAGGTTCTCGATACCTGCTCACAGAGAATGGCAGGTTGCATCCAACGACCAGGAACAACGCGAAGCAGCCCAAGCAGATCAAGAAGTACACAATTATTTCTGGCAGCCAGGTGTAGGCTACCAGCACGAACATCGCAACAGTTTGCAGCTCCACCTAGGTATAGTTAGAGTACAGTTAATCGTATGACAGTGTTACAGTGTTACAGTGTGACAGTAAGCCAGTGGAGAGCCCTGTTCGATAACTCACGATGACAAAGGCCACAATATAGTTGACAATTTTGAAGTACCGCACTTGTCCGACCAGCAAGAACACGAGAAACAGTAAAATGCCCAGGACGAAGGCAACAAAGCAAAATATTTTACTGTTACGGAGTGTCTCACGAGCACTTTCTCTGAAAGCAAAATGTGGTCAATCACTAAAGCACTAGACAGAATTAGACAAACTAGAAAAACTAACACCAAACCAACCAGGGCCCACTGCACCAAGGCTAGTAGCAGAAATATCAACAAAAATAGATATGTTCGGCGGGCAAACTTGATGCGCTGACGTTGGCCTACGTCCATTGCTGGCCACTGGGAGTCTTCCGTCACAGTGGCGAGCCCTAACTGAAAGCGAATTTAAGGCATGTGATCATGTAGAAACCATCAGCTTACGAAGAAAACAGCAATTTTATGAAAATTTGTATATTCAGAATTTCTGACCTAGGCTTGCCCTGATCAGAGTGTGATCAGAGAATGTACACAAAAAACCACCTCAAGATCTTGGCCTCATTCTGGGGATGAACGAACCAATCGCTGTATCGAATCGGCTTGCACATATTTCTATTTATGCAATCAATAATATATGTATAAGAGAAGCAGCTGCAACTCCTAAACAGCCAGCTAAACAGGCTCACTAATAAGGCCGACTGCAGTGCACAGCCAACTTTGATAGTTTGGGCTTCGAGGCAGAATGACAGACGGATAGGGAAAATACTGATTCGCAAATTGCTGAAACACGAAAATATAAAAAGAGCACACAATTTGAATACCAAAGTACAGTAACATACGTACGGCGTCGTCGTCGTCGACGTCGTCGTGCGCACTTGGTGCGTATGAGCAAAAAGGAAAAAATCATTTAGCGACACCATCGGCATATCAAAATTGTATAGGCCAACAGTTTAGAAGCATGCGCCATTCACATTATCGTCATTTATGAACTCCCGAAAAGCGAAACCCGACTTGAGAGTCAAGAATCAACTAACTGTCGCCGAGAACTCTGTGTCACTCCACTCCTATCTGACTAGCATGCAAAATTAATTACGGGCAAAAATTTATTTACGACGCTGACTTCGCATGGTCTTCCTTCCACGTGTCGACTCTGCTCTGCGGCAGCCATAAAAATTTTACGCTTTAGCCGAATTTAGCGGCAGCCCAGGAGGAGCCAGAAACCAGACTGCAGCTGAGATATGTACGAGTGTGTGTGTGTCCATGTGCCCTGTACATGTACATTCTCCCCTGCTTGCGCATCGCCCATTGCCCATAAAATCAAGGCGAAGGAAAACGCGGTGATGACGTTTTGCAGCCGCACTGCAGTGGATGTGTCGCTCGCTACTGCGGTCGCTGGTTGCTGGTTGCTGGTGCAGTAGATTTTACGAGCTTTTGCAACACTAACTCTGCCCACAGGAGAGGTTGGTGACTGCAGGGAGGGTGTGCTGAAAATCACACCACTTAAGTACGCGTAATGAAATTCTAAGCAGCATTCGCCCTGTTTATGTTTTCAACTGTTTAAAGGATGCTTTTCCCAAATCTCGAGCAGAGGTTACCCAATGCGAGAAATATTTCCACATTCACATTCTCTTCTTTGTATTAAATGATAGCATATCAAATGCTGACATAAGTTTTTGTTCAAGTCAACTAAGTCGTATTCTTAGACTCAAATTAAAAAAAAGCATATAAAATTGGATTAAAAAATGTTCAGGACTACTTACGGAATAGCTGCATCTTCACCTAAATTGTTTATAATTTGCGCTTGCCAAAAATAAATGATAAAACCAAAAATAATTTAAGGCGTGGAAAAATTATCAAAGTAGGCGTACAACAATTTTTGTTTTTTAACACAGTTTTATCCCAGTTACCCGTCTCCTTTCGACCAAGTCTGACCAAGGCTTCTTATGACATGATCGTTTGTGACCGAAAATTCAATGGTAGGGTCGTTAGAGTCATATTTAAATCATCGCCACTAAACTGATCCTAAATAAGGCTTTGAGTTTCTTGTTTTCTGTCACTACTCCCTTCCGTAACATGAAAAAAGAAGTGAGATCCGATTAGAGGAACCATTTGTGCCATGAAATAGCGAAATGTTCTATATTTAATATAATCACGCATGGATATAGATAAAGTCATATGTATAACTACCGATATCCGCGAATATCTTGCTGGCAAAGGACAAAACCACAATATTTGTCATAGCTATTTCTGACCCATTTAATTATTGTATTAAGATTTTATTTGATTGTATTGTATTCCAGATAAGTTAAGCGAAAAATAACCAAGCCAACTTACCTGTTGATTTTCTAGATTAGCGACAAAAAAGCCCCTATCAAACTAGGTCGTTGTCCGATTAATCCCGTAGTAAAATTCAATCGAAAGCGGAATGGAAAGATAGGGCCGTGGGCTGCAGCCCTTAATACCCTAAGTCAGGGTTTACTTTTATCAAAGACAAACAAATCCGACCCCCTCCTTGATTTTATTTAAACCAAGAAAGCAAACAACGAATCTTACAGAGCACTTGTTTGAGTAAGATAAATGCAAATATCCCGCAGACTCTTAGGCTAACGCCGACTCATTAGCAGAAGCACACGCTAGAGATAAGGACCACACCGAGTCGGGCTGTGAAAAGACTGCTGATAAGTGGCCAATGGAACGAAGGGCGCAGATAAAACGCCCGGGGCAGAGTTCAAAGAGCGGACAAATCATATGTCGTCGCATCATCAAACAAAATGAGCAGAAAATTAGGAGGACCGACTACCAGGAACCTGATGTCGGAGTAGGTAATGGAAATGCTTTCATTTCTACTTCTACTTCTACTTCCACTTTTCATTTGCTGCTTGCGTCATCGAATTCGTGGCCAGTGCGCTGGCTGATAAGCTGCCTTCGAGCCAAATAGATGAGCTGGTCGGTGACTGTGAGTCATCTCTGCTGCCGCAGCTTCGAACGTGACCTGGCACTCTAGTGACAGTCCCGCAATCGGACAAGAGACTGGCTCCTTCTGAGTCCAGCGCCTCTATCAATTTTACGACTTCCTCTTGGCTTCAGTCGGTGCCTTCTTGGAGGGATATGGGAATGGGTATGGGCATGGGTATGGGTATCTGTGGACCACCGGCTAGCTGCAATTAGTTTTATTTTCCAATTCGTAGATTTGTGGCTCGCATAAGTATCTTTATCTGAGTTAATTGATATTTATAGCTGAAACACGTTCTTCCACTTCGGTGTACGTTGCCTTCTTGGCTCTCAAGTGAAAATGTGAAAATACTCGGGGCCCTTGGTTTCATCTTCAGTTTATTGGCAACTGGAAATCATGGCCATTAGGTATGGCTTATATGTATATACTTTATTAGAGCATGCTGGAGAGATTTCTTGGGAAAGGTGACTCGATTGGGGAGGATGCCACACAATAACTGAAGATGTGTGAGGTCAACGATAGAGTCACGTTTTGGGTTTATACAGAAACAAGATAAGACTTTTAAAATAGCTGAGACTGAGAACTCTCTGGAAAGGTGAATTCTAAAAGAACCGCACGGTGAGTCATCAATCAGCCATCAGTTTCAATACAAAACGCAGCTACAGGAAGCCCAAAGGACCTTTACCATCGGCTTCCCCAGCCAGCTGTCTGCTTAACGAAGTTATGGGCTATCATATTCCCCTCATATGTAAAATACAAGCATGCTTAAAACAACCATGAGGAAGCAGATTTGTTCAAAAAACACTCAAGAAACGTATCGAGAATCATCAATACTTGGCCGTTGATTTATGAATGAGCCTTTTAATGGCAGGACATTTTTGTTATAGCATGACATCTCAAATGTTTGTTTCGGGGGCAGGAAGATAATAAATGAATTTGGAGTTTGTTCTTAAATGTAAATAAGTTCTGCTTCAGTGTTGGCCTTGAATGGGCCGTGAGTTAGAGGATTAGGTATCCAGAGGTGAGAAATTAAAAAAGGCTACCATTTTTGTTGATTCACTAGAACATTACATACTCAGATACCCAGCAGAGCCACAGGAACAGCAGCCACATCCACTTCCCAAATCCAGCTCCAAAAGGCCAGCAGCAGGCAGGATTCTGGGTAATCTCCAAGACGACTCTAACAAGACGGGCTCAGTGTGCGACTGCTCAGTTCTTGGAATAATTGAGAACCATAATTATGCTCACGCTTACTCTTGTTTCGACTCTGTGCATTGCAAAAACAAACAATGGATGGAAAAAAGGTTATGCCCAGGCAAAAGGCCAAGGATGTGGATGGATACAGAGGGGTGGGAGTGTGCAATAGATTAACAATAACGAGGTACGCAGCAGCATAAGAGTACCTAGAGAGAAGCAGAAGTGCTTTGTCCTTGGCAGAGAGATACTCGCACGTTGTCAATGTCGCTTGTCTGGTGCTGACAAATCACCACGACCATAGGATTTATCAATAGGCCAAGAACCTAAGAAGCAGGATGAGGTTTCGGTCCTTGCCCCTGATCGCTTGATTATTGAGCAGAACATGTCAATTTGCGGCCATAGATGCTGCTAGACACTTCCTTTTCCTTCTCGACAAAGTTGAACAAAAACTTCTAAATTCCAGCTGTGACTTTGTCTCAGGTCTCGGGCCTCGGGTCTCGGTCTCAGTCGTTCCTCAGCCTTCCAGTCGATTCATATATTCATAAATTTCCGCACAAGTCCAACAAAATCCGCAAGGTTGATTATGCTGTCAGATAAATCAATTTGTCGCCAGGCAAATAAATATTTTTATTATTATACAAAAGTCCGGCTTAGGCTGAAAATGTTATGGCGTAATTTAGATTGATGACCCAAAGATATGGTCGCACACCGAGAACGACAAATTGAAAATGGCTTCAACGTAACTCAAAAAGAGAAAAGGTGGAATTTTATATTTTCGCAATCATTCGCCTTAGACTCTCAAGATGCCTGGCCATTTAAAGCCTTTAGGCTAATTTTATGACAAGTTCGTGACTGGAAACTATAGAGAGTCCCTATAGAGGGTTCCCAGGCCCGTCCCCTCTCCCAGGACCAACCTGTTTCCTGAATTCACAATTCACAACTCGCGACCTCCCACGTGTTGCTCTTGAAAATTTTGTGCAGCGAGGCCAAATACAATTTTTACGTGCCCACGCGTCCCAGTCAACAATTTTACAACAAAACAAAAGAAAAGGCAATCCCAAAATAAAAAGAAAAATTCGCTTTGACTCTGTTTTTCCTTTCAGAAAATTACCTTTAAAGCGTCATAAAATGATTTTCGTGCAACGCAGCACTTGGATATTTTCGCGTCCCGCGTTTTATTGGCGTCGTTTACTCCCTTTAAACT